GACATGTTGCACCCATGCGTTGGCTATTGACCACGGAACTGCTGCAGTGAGCGGTGGCAAGGCCTCTTCTGTCATTGGAGATGAGGCTTTCTGATACTGAGGCAATCAAAATTGAGGGGTTGAAGTCTCTTGGTGCTTCCGAGTGATGAGGATCCGTCACGGAGCTGACTGGTCCATGGGCGCACACATCGGGATGGAATTCATGTTTCTCCATCTCCTGTGAAAATCCAAGCATACTCTCTGCCCCAATTTAAGAGTGATGCCGGACCATTCCATACACCTGTTTGGGGGTCTCACCGTGCTATAGGGGGTAAAGACCTCTGACAATTGTTAGATCCTTGTCCCCATTGTAGCATGGCTGGTGGTATTTCAGGGGCAGGATTTAGAAAGTTTAAAACAATAGGTAGCAACATTTAAATACATCTAAGAATTCTGACCCTTTATGCCCTCCTTTTTTTGTTCAGCTAGTTGATTTTTTAATTTAAGTATGCTCAATTATTGCTTGACCTTGAGGATTATAAGGGATCCCTGTAACATGATGTATATTCCAGTTATCAAGAAAGCTCTGGGACCGTGGAGATGGCTCAGTAGAATAAGCACTTCCCTGGCAAGTGCGAGGGCCTGAGTTCAACCCCCAGTTCCGCAAAAAAAAAAAAAAAAAAAAAAGTCTGAAAATGTCTACTAACATAAGCAGGGCCACTAGCAATCTTTTTCGTGGCACTCCTAATGTAGCAAAGGCTGATACACAATGCTGTATGACATGTTGACTTTGCTCCCCTGAAGCACACATAGCATGGATCATATGTGAAAAGATACCTATAGAAATATGAATGTACTTTAGTTTGTTAAAAGAGACTATACGGGTAATATCCATTTGCCATAACTGATTATTTTTGTTTGTTTGTTTGGGGGGTTTTTTGGGCGGAACCAGGGATTGAACTCAGGCCCTTGCGCTTGCCAGGAAAACACTTATTGCACTGAGCCATCTCCCTGGCCCCCAACTGATTGGTTTTTAGACCTCTGGGATTGCAGCCTTGTTGAGGAATAGGCCTAGGAATGAGCTGGCAGGAAGGGCATGACATGACTATTTGTCTCGCTTGAGCTCTGGTAATTTTAAACTCCTTTTGCAGAGATCTAGAATTTTGATGAAAAAACTCATAGGATCCTCTTGCTTTATCAAAAACAAAAATCAGGTTAACAAGAGCATCTGCATTATAATTCCCCAAGGATAATGGACCTGGGAGATTAGAATGCGCTCTAATATGGTCAATAAAGAAAGGAGAGGTTCTGTTAAGTATAACTTTCTGTTATTTTAAAAATAGTTATAATATGGGGCCGGGGAGATGGCTCAGTGGAATAAGCGCTTCCGAGGCAAGTGGAAGGGCCTGAGTTCAATCCCTGGTTCCACCAAAAAAAAAAAAAAAAATAGTTATAATAAGGTAGGCTCGATGGTGGAGCAAACAGAAGCAGTTTCAATCTTTTCAGTTAGAAATACTACATATGAAGAGTCACTTAATATATTAAGGGATTGATCTGCAAACTGCTCTGTAACATGGAGCATAGATAGCCTTAATCTCTGAGTGCTGTGCGGAATCTGCTTGCGTAGAGAATAAGTGCTGGAAGGAGCAGCTCCAGATAGCTGCCTTTCCTCTGTAGAGTAAGGCGGGGCCCCTGCTAAAGGCTGCAATTGGGTAACTTTTGGAAGAATAATAGAGGTACGAAGGAAGAATTGCAAGAGAGAATCCCTTGGGCAGTGATTGTCTATAGTCCCTAAGAATTGGGCGAAGGCCACCTGCCAGAATAAGGCTGTTTGGAGCAATGTTTGTCTCTGTTGAGCAACTAGTGGGACCACAATAACAGTTAGGTCATGGCCAAAAAGCTGACATGCTCTATTTCTCCCCATAGTCAGTACTTTTGCTATCTGTTCTACATATAACTGGAGAGTTTTTACTACTTGATTCGGGAAAAACAACCATTCTGTAGGGGAAGAAACCTTATTAATACATTGTCCTAATATCCCTGCAGGAGAATGAGGGGTCTGTAACACAAACAAATGAAGAGGTTGAATAATGCCAATTGTGAAACACTGCCTTGAATTTCTTTCTTTCTTTTCTTCCTTTTTTTTTTTTTTGCTGAACCGGGGATTGAACTTATACCCTTGTATTTGCCAGGGAAGCACTTATTCCACTAAGCCATCTCCCTAGCCCTTGAAACACTGCCTTGAATGAAGACATCTTTTGACTAATTTTAGCTCCTGCCTGGCTTCTTCTGTGAGTTGTGGGGTAGAATTTAAATCTTTATCACCTTAAAGAATACAATATAAACCTTGTAACTGATAGGTTGCTATGCCTAATTTGGGCCTGAGCCAATTAATATCTCCTAACAGATTTTGGAAATCAGTTAGAGTTTGTAGCCTATCCTTATTTGAATCTTTTGTGGCTTAATTACCTTTCCAGAGATGATACAGCCCAAATAACCATAAGGACTCATCATTTGTACTTTCTCAGGTGCTAGTTAGGCTTGGAAGACATAGCCAGTAATATGTTGTCCATGTAGTGTATAAGCCTGAGAGAACTGAGTTCTACATCTTTTCAAGATTTGTAATTCCAAAAAGATCAGGCAGGTGGAGTTGTTTGTTCTACAAATTGTTTGTGCTACAACAATTTCAAGTTGGGCAGGGGAGATGGCTCAGTGGAATAAGTACTTCCCTGGCAAACGCAAGGGCCTGAGTTCAATCCCCAGTTCCGCAAAAAATAAATAAATAAAAAACAAAGTAGGGCTGGTGAGATGGCTCAGTGGTCTAAAGCACCTACTTAGAACAAGCTTAACAAAGCACAGGGACCGCGGTTCAATCCCCAGCACCACATGCAAGCCAGCCCCGCCCTTGGTGGGCTGAGCTGGCCACACACACACACACACACACACACATAAATAAATAAATTTTAAAAAATAAATAAATAAAATAAAAAAACAAAGTAAAAAAAACAACACCAATTTCAAGTTGTTTGTGCTACAACAATTTCAAGTTGTTTGTTTGTGTTACATACAACTGACACAATGTGGCACTATTTGCCATCCTCTGTGGGAGCCCTGTCCATTGAAAACGCCTTGCTGGCTCACAAAAATTAGTGCTAGGGGTGCTGGTGAGATGGCTCAGTGGTCTAAAGCATCTACTTAGAACAAGCTTAGCAAAGCGCAGGGACCATGGTTCAATCCCCCAGCACCACATGCCAGCCAGCCCCGCCCCCTGGTGGGCTGAGCTGGCCACACACACACACACACACACACACACACATAAATAAAAAAATTAGTGCTAGGTACTGAAAATGCAAAAAAAACTGTTGATCCTCAGGAGAGAGAGAAGAATATTTAAAAGTCTTTGAGATCAATAACAACCATAGGCCATGATAGGTTATGGCCCTAGTAAGAATTGCTGAATTACTATGGTGGTCATATAATATGGCTGAAGCCCTTAAAACAACAGCTCATCTTCCCAGAGACCACCTCCCCGCTTCTTCTCCAACTCAGCCCAGGGTGCAGTTTCTTTTCACCTTTCCTGCCACCTCAAGGAAGGTCCCAGTCAGCTCCTCAGGTCTATCTGAACTTCCCCCTCAAGCCCCACCCCTGGCAAAAAGCCATAATCGCCTCAGCCTCCCTTTGTGCCAATCCAGAGAATTCCTTATCTTCCCAAATTCTCTCCATGTCCTCTAAGATAATGAAGTCCCTTTTCCTTTATAATAAAGCCCCTTTCCCTTTTCCTTCTGCGTGTTTCTCTGCTGCGACACCGTTAAAACCTATCAGGCTGGGCTGGTGAGATGGCTCAGTGGTCTAAAGCACCTACTTAGAACAAGCTAAGCTAAGTAAAGCACAGGGACCGTGGTTCAATCCCCCAGCACCACATGCCAGCCAGCCCTGCCCCCTGGTGGGCTGAGCTGCCCACACACACACACAAAATAAATAAATATTTAAAAAAAATAAAAAATAAATAAATAAAAAATAAAACCTATCAGGCCAGTATCTAGGTACTGCTGTAATACTAGGTAGACCAAGTTGTAGTGCCCCCATCGGCAGCATGCAAGCATTTACGGCTCTTAAATCTTGTATTAATCTCCACCTGCCTGATCTGTTTGGAATTACAAACACTGGGGTATTCCAAGGGCTAACAGAACAGGTTGAGGTGCCCTAATTGTAATTGCTCTTCTACCAGTGCTGGTAAGATCTTCAGCTTCTCCTGAGTAAGGGGCTATTGTGAAACCCACTTTGGTTCTGTCATCTTCCATTGAATTGGCAGTGCAGAAATAGGCAGAGAAGGGTCCATGGCCCCTGCCATAAATCTGAATCATATCCAATTCAAAATCTAACTTGTTTTATTAAAGGCTCAACTGGAAGTGTACTACCTTGCAAGTTTTTACCTAAGCCTTTGTTTCCTTGATAGCTCATCTTAGCCATCATCTGGCTAGCAGGTGATACACACTTCTGTGGGGCAGAAAAAGTTAAAACAACACCCCATTCTTTCATAAGGTCTCTGTCCCATAGATTGACTGGAATAGGTGCGATAAACGGTGTTATACTACCTTTCTGTCCATCAGGGCCAGTATATGAAAGAGGCAGCACACTCTGTAAGACAGACTGAGGAGATCCTAAGCCTATCAGAGCCATGGAGGTGGGTCTAGTTGGCCAAGCAGAAGGCCAAGATTGGCTATTGATTGTAGGGATATCAGTTCCTGTACCATTCAGTCCAGTAAAGGACTTCCCATTTAATTTTTTTTTTTTTTTGGGAAACAAATGTTTAATGATAAGTTGCTCTTCAGGGAACTGGTTACAGAGGCCTTTGAAAACTAAGAACACAACCACGCAGCACAGATCTGAGCAAGTTTCTTAGCACAACTACCCTGTACACTATAACCTTTTTCTCTCCAGAATGACCCTCATCTTACATGAAAATCGTTGCCACAGGGAAGCCAAAAATCAAGCTTTGTGGCCAACAGGAAAAACGGCAATCTGTTGGTCAACTGGTAAGAACAGAGAACCCAGAGCTGTTCACTGTGGTGTTTTCGCCTTCTTACTCTTGTTCTTCTTGTCTCTCTTCTTCAGCCCATCCATGTTAGCCCTCAGCAGGTTTGAATAGGCCATCTGAAACTTATTCACTTCTTTAGAGCTCACCACAGTGCTGATCTTCTTTTTCCCATCCGTCGCTCTCAATAGACATTTGTTATCCGCAGGCTCAAAGCCCTCCACAGAGCCCTTCTTTGGGATCGATCTGGTTCGACCATCATATTTCTTCAGGGTGATGAACACGCTGCCCGACGTCCAGCACTTCTGGAAGAGCCTGGTCAGCTCGGTCAGGAACTGCTCGCTCTCCAGCAACACCATCTTGATGAAACAGGATCCAATTCTTCAGTCCCCCATTTAATTTAATAGTGCAAGTAGGTCTATGAAATATTTTTGGAAAAGTAAGTTTCCTTGTTTAAAGGCTTATCTCTATTAGACTCAAGAAAGGGGTAGAATGCAGGAGATGACTGAGCTGTTGAAAAGAGTAAAATCTGAGTAATCAGATCACCAGGTTCAATTACCCAAATACCAGTGGAGCACACAGCAATTGATACTTCTTTATTACAATCACCATCTATTATAGTTGGAATTATAGTAAGGCCTTTAGGAATTAAGCTTAATTTTCCAATAATTTTTTTTTTTGGCAGAACCAGGGATTGAACTTAGGCCCCTGTGCTTGCCAGGGAAGTGCTTTTTCTACTGAGCCATCTCCCCAGTCCCAACTTTTCCAATAATTAACCCTATGGTTCTTTCTGGCAGTGGCCCATAGATTCCAGTGGGGATTAAAACTGTTCCCCTACCCTTATAAATGAATACAAGAAGATGCTGGTAAATCTAATCCTGAACTGAGTGGTTCTTCGTGTGAGGAACCTAAGGTTTCGCCTTGAACCCATCCTGGTAGTGAGGTCGTTGTCTGTCTGGTTTGGACTGGATATAACTGGTTTAACTGCTTCTGGGATAACAAGGCATTGCTTGAGTCTGTCCCCTGTACTTGTGCCTGGCCCAGGGGAAAGGCCGATTCCCCGTTTCCCAGCAGGAGTGTGCCAACTTTGTGAAATCTAGACCTACAGTCTTTCGCCCAACATTGCATGAAACCTTTCATGCAACGTGGACGCAGAGTATTTGGTAGATCAGGGTGTGGTCTTGTAACAGCCTGCCTAGCAGAATTGGCCGACTTTGTAACAAGATCTGGGCTGTGGCATCAAGTATGTCCACATTTGCCACAATTAAAACATTTAATCATGTCCAATTTATCACCAAAATATTGGGATATAGTCTGTGCCATGAGTGCAGATGCATGGGTGGTAGACCCACTATTTTGGCATGCTCAAATGTAAGTGTAAGAAATCCGATGTATGAAGTACTGAGGCTTAGTTAGGCCCTTTTACAGTCCTCATCGGTGTTCTCATATGCCTACTGACGAATAAGCATTTTAGCTGCATTATTGTGCAAAATATGCCTGTGTGCAGTGTCTTACAACCTTGCTACAAATTGGGTGTAAGTTTTGCTAGGGCCCTAGAGTATCTGGGTAAAGGATTTCTTAGGTATACCATCTTTTGGTACAGAAATCCATGAGCGACATAGCAATTCCTTGCATTACATGAAAAGGAGGGGCAGGGCACGTGCCTGGACCTTTAAATCAGCATATTGTCCAGTGTCACATAGCATTTCCTGTGTAACGTCTTTAAGATTTTCATCCCCACTATCTTGATTACTCTGTGCCTATTCCGAGATGAGAGTCTTTTTTTTTTTTTTTTTTTTTTGGTGGAACTGGGGATTGAACTCAGACCCTTATGCTTGCCAGGCAAGTGCTTATTGTACTAAGCCATCTCCCTAGCCCCTAGGCCACTAGATGAGCATCTTTAATTGTGATTCAAAGTGTAGGAGGGGGCCTGCCCCTTAGCTCAGTTATTTAAGAGCCTGCTTAAACAGTCAGTCAGCTCAGGTTGCTGTGGTTCGATCCCGAGAACTCAAGCCAGCCAAACCTGCCCTGAAGGCATTCTCAGCAAAACCAAAAAAAAATCTTTCTGCCATTTTTTCACAGAGAGCAAACTGGTCGAACAATGGCCATGACTCATCCACATGTCTGACACTGACAAAAGGATGTACAAAGGGCGGTACAGGGCTACAGGATAAATCCTGAGAGTACTTGGGTGACCTTATCAGATACAAAAGTTGCATTTCTTCTTACATAGGTCTTGCTATATCTTGGCCTTAACCATCCAGCAGAAAAGTATAAAAATGAAGTATATAAAGTAAATCCATATTAATACGATGAGCTGTAAAAGGCTCAAGTCAATAACTTCTGAGGATAACCCACTAATATTATAGACTGCTAGACAGTGTTGGATTGTTTAGCTGAATTCAAACACCTAGATGCCAATAGAATATTCACCTCTGACAGACAATAAAAAAAATGATACAAAGGAATGATCATTTTGTGTTTATGTATACAAAATAGGATAAATTTACAGCTACTTTTGCTTAATTCAAAGAGAAGAGGTGTACTAACAGTGGACAGAATATCCTGTCTGCTTCTTGTACTATGAATAACCACAAGAAGATAGCAATGTACAATGTATTGATTATCAAAACTGTCCTATTAATCAGCTGTGAAACTGTCTCATTCATATTTATTTCTCAATAAAAAATTTTAAAAATTAAAAAAAAATCAAAGTGTAGGAATTGTGCAGATGATAGACACATGCGAGCGAGATGGGTTACATCACTTGGCGTCATTTGGAAGCCTTGAATTATCCAAGCAACCAAGTGTGTAAGGGCTTTGGACAACATTATCTCACACGCTCTGCCTTAATTCTTTCAAGAGCAAAATGTTAAAAGCTGTGTGAGTACTGCCTTTACGGGTAGGGTGTTCTGTTCTGTCTCCTCAGTGACAGGAAAGCACATTGCCTGTGGATAGAGCCTCATATCTCTGTACTTTGGCCTCCTTAAGGGTGGGGAAGGAGGAGGTTCACTCTTAACCTGATTGTTCTGTATGTCTGAGGGAGGGACTTCAGGAAATGGAGGGGCAGTGGGGAGAACAGTGATAAGATTATCTACATTTTAAAAAAAGACTTTCTTGTTTTCTAGAAGCCCGTTAGGAAATTCCTGTCCTAGATGATCCAATTCTTTTATTATAGTTCCAACAGGGCTTTTCTCAATTACAATTACCTTTTTCACAAGCCTTGGATCAGCATCCTTGGAATGCTTTGTAATGGTAAACTGTTGCTGATCTGCATTCCTTCCTGGGCTGTTACATTGGAAGGACCAGACAGTGCCCTTCATCAGGTTATATGTGGCTGTAGTTTGTGGGGGAATTTCTCTTTTTTGAGTTTTGGCTTCATAGAAGCTTTTACCTATTTCATCCCAAATTCTGAGATCCAGGTACCAAGTTTGGGAAAATAAGGATAAAATGTAGCTATCTCATGGAGTAATCTAAAAACTTGCTTAAATGGCACCTTAATACCAGCATCCTTTTTTTTTTTTTTTTTTTTTGTGGAACCAGGGATTGAACTCAGGCCCTTGCACTTGCCAGGGAAGTGCTTATTCCACTGAGCCATCTCCCTAGCCCTTTTTCTTTCTTTTTCTTTTTTAAAATACCATCATCTTTTAACAGTTTTATAATCAATAAACTAAATTCTTTCTCTTCTGTGGATAAAGACTGAGCTTGCCCCACTGTTACCTTTGATGAATAGATTCCTATTTGGTACTTGTGTCTGAGCACTATAATTAGTAAAATGCTCCACTTACCTCTAAATTTGTCAAGCAAGATCCAGTGGATCGCCTGCATGTGATTCTAGTTAGTGGTCGTTGTGTCGAGAAGGTTGCACGTTGCGGCCACATTGAGTGTCAATTGTAGGAGTCCCCTCCAGATTCTTGTCTTGGTCCAAGAAGTCAGTATTTGTAATGCGGGGGTGGAGATAGCTCAGTAGAATAAGCGAGGCACTTGCCTGGCAAGCACAAGGTCCTGAGTTCAATCCCTGGTAGCACCCAAAAAAAAAATTACAATCCTGGGGCCAGGGAGGTGGCTCAGTGGAATAAACGCTTCCCTGGCAAGTGCAAGGGCCTGAGTTCAATCCCCAGTTTTGAAAAAAAAAATTGTAATCCCAAACATACATTATTGGAATCCCACCAAGCTAATCCCAATCTTCCACTTCCAGTGCAACCCATGGTGAAAGTAAAGACACTAAAACATATTTATAATTATTATTTTTTTGATATAACATTTAATTCTATCACATTCCCATCAACCATCAAAGGCAGTAAATGACAATTATATTGGCTGCTTCCACTGGTTGGCAGGAGGCTCCTCCACTAGCGGCTCCCATGGTTTCCACTGCACCATTTTCCTTGCCAGACTTAGTTCACTTTCAGCCTGAAGAATCACCTCTTCTACTTGGCCAAGCTGAATTCGGTCTTCTAATTTTTTAACATCTGGTTCCACTTTCACTATAGCCAGCCTCTCATTTGTAATTTGTTCTGTGTATTTTCTATATGCAGCACTTTTAGGAATTTGATCAAGAACATCAAGAATCTTTGTATATAGTGGCCGGGGAGATGGCTCAGTAGAATAAGCGCTTGCCTGGCAAGCACAAGGGCCTGAGTTCAATCCCTGGTTCTGCCAAAAAAATAAAAAAAAAAAGAATCTTTGTGTACAATATTCTTAGCCTCTCGTGCGGCGTCTCGCACAAGGCCAACCCCATGAGGCCAGTGGTCTTCTTCAGTGTGCCCGCCATGGCAGCCATATTTATAATTATTGGGGAAAAAAATTATTGGGGAGCTAAGGGGTCTAAATCCAGCCACAAAGATGGCTTTCTGGAACAAAGAGGCTAACCCACGGCCATACCCAGCTTTATTTAGTGGAGGAGTGGCTTAAAGAGGAATGACTGAGAATTGTGGGAAGTGGATGAGTACTGTGAGCTGAGCTAGGTAGATGGCCTGCATTTACTTCTGCCATATGCAGAGAAAGTAATCTGCATTATGCTATTGACATAATATCTAATGTTTCTGGGATCTGGTGCTTCAGCTCTGATATAATCTTTCAAGCCCCAGGAAGTCATAGCCTGTCTAGAGGCTCGATCCCAGCTGGCAGTGCGGAGCATTAGCTCTACCGTCCTGTCTCTACCCAGCTCACATTAAGAGGCAGCAGGTGTAGGTTACCAGGGAAACATGCATACCACCTTCAAAGACTATCACCAGCACCTTGGCTAGACAAATATATATTGCTTAAGGCCAATTGAAGGATAAGCAGAAGTCCTAGCCAGCTCTGTACAGAACAATATGAGGAAATAGGATCAGGCTCAGTCAAAATGGAGACAGTCACTCTTCTTTCCAGGACAGCTGTG